TGGACACTCTTGCTTGACACTCTCTCTTGACACTCTTTGCTAGACAATCTTTCTTGACACTCTTTCTTGACACTCTTGCCTGACACTCTTTGCGGGACACTTTTGCTGGACACTCTTTGCTAGACATTCTTGCTGGACACTCTTGCTTGACACTCTTTCTTGACACTCTTTGCTAGACACTCTTGCTTGACACGTTTGCTGGGCAAAAGTCACACGTCATGGCTCCAAAATGAGCGTTTCGAGACTTCCTCCAAAAGTCACGCGTCAAGTCTCCAAAACAAAGCGTTTCGTACGAGGCTTCCTCCAAAAGTCACACGTCAAGTCTTCAAAACGAGCGTTTCGTACGAGACGTCCTCCAAAAGTCACACGTCAAGTCTCCAAAACGAGCGTTTCGTACGAGACTTCCTCCCAAAGTCACACGTCATGGCTCCAAAACGAACGTTTCGTACGAGACTGCCTCAAAAACTCACATGTCAAAGTCTGCAAAACGAGCGTTTCGTACGAGACTTCCTCCCAAAGTCAGGCGCGCTGCCAAGCAGTTTCGCGATTCCAGCCCCTCCAAACAACACCCGCTCACACGCCAATCCCAATGTCACAGCGACATTCACCTCTATACTCTACCACAACTCACAACCTCACGATTCCCTGCGCCCGCCACGAATCCTTCCACGTCCACACGTCTAACGCGCACAAAGTCCTGCGCCTGCCATGAAATGTCACCTCCATCACACATCGCAACCTCACGATTCCCTGCGCCTGCCACGAAAATCGCACTTCCACACCTCAAAACCCGCGCAAAGTACTGCGCCTGCCACGAAAAGTGACAATGTCATCTCATGTGAGCTTCAACAAAACTTGCACCACACCACACGTTTGGAATTATTTCGGCCCGTTCTGAGCACACTCCCATCCACCAAAATCACCATTTCAGCTGAGACTTGTCACGAAAACAGCGCTTCGATGCCACACCCTGGAGCGCAAACCCCAATGGCACGGCCACATCCAACGCCCAAAAAACACGACTCTCCAAACGCTAATCCCAATGGAATACCGACACAAACGTGTCACTTTCACGAAACCCTGCGCCTGTGCAGCGAAATGCATCACGTTTCCTGCGCGACATGTCACTTTCATGCAAATCACAATGTAATAGCGGCGCAAACTGACACGTGACACATCCATGAAAAGTCACTTGCAAAAGCCCCCCCAATGGCAGGGCCATAGAGACATCATACGGACGGTTGCAAAGGGTTGCGGACGGTTGCAAACGGTTGCGGACGGTTGCGAACTCGAAAACAACGTCGGGCAAGCACAGCTCTACTCCCAAGTCCCAAGTTAAACGAGAACCCTTCGCTACGCATTCGGGAAAAATCATGAATGCTGGACTTTGCACGCCCTTCCTGCTCAGACTCTCTGTTGAGGAACTTTTGGCTGCAGCAGTTGATTCTTTATTCCCCAATAGTGTACTGGCTAGTGCACCAGCATTAGTTGACTTTCTGGAAATATGAGCTGGGTTGGACCATCCGAGCCTCAATCTGTTCGAAGTTTCTGTGTACTGTAACTTCCCAAAATTTGCTCTCAGAAGAGGAGAGGGGTTGGAACAAAGCTCGTAGTTTGCACATCAACAATTGCAACACATCAGTCGTCATCAATCCCAGAGGTAATCAAGAATAAAAGGGACAAGAAACTAGTAGGGGCTCCTGGCATCGCTACTAGGAACAAGAACGCTACTAGGGGCTCCTAGCCTTACTACTAGGAGCAAGGATGCTACTAGGGGCTACACACATATGGTGACCTTTGACAATAGCTCCGGGGAACCGAGAGACAAGAAACTAGTTGGGGCTCCTTGCATCGCTACTACGAACAAGAACGCTACCAGGGGTTCCTAGCCTTACTACTAGGAGCAAAGATGCTACTAGGCGCTACACACATATGGTGACCTTTGACAATAGCTCCGGGGAACCGAGAGATAGCCCTGGCGTTCTGCTGGAGCGAGGTTGAAACAGTTTTTGCATGTGTTTGCATCAGTCATACTGTCCTGGTATCTTTAGGCTGCTAGGCTTGACGAGGGCAGGCGCCACCTGAAAAGAGGGATGGGGCAAGATACAGGAGTACATGTCAAGTGGTCAAAAGGCATTGCTTGATTTGGGAAAGTCGCACAACATGCACTGTGAACTGACGCTCCTTGATGAAGGGGTGCGCATTTTTTGCAAGCGTCCTTTCCCGCCTTTAGGTATTTGTCGCGTGAGCCACGTGAGCGAGAGAGAGAGAGAGCGAGAGCGAGAGCAAGAGCGAGGAAGGGAGGAGGGAGGGAGGCAAGGGGAACCGACATTGTCACCTCCCTTTGCCGATTGGGACCATTGGATATGCAATGGAAGGAGAGAGAGAGAGATGAAAGACGGAAAGGTATTGAAAAGGATGGGATGGCACATGGAAGTGTTCATGATGGTTGACAGGACAGGCATGTTGGTCTTGAGTAAGGTGAAAATAGAGCTAAAGAACTTGTGATTATTGATTCATAGATTTCATAGTTGCCGGGGATCCCGTGTGTCCCTGGTAGAGAATGAGCTGATTAGAACGGTGAACGGAGGCAATGCCACCAGGAAATAAGAGCACACCTACCACTCCGTCCCCAGATGTAGAAGTCCCGAGGCAGAAAAAAAGAAGACCTCGGTGCCATGCTCGGAACACTGCAGTCGTAGCAGCAGCACTGCCATGTGCTGCCTTTTTGTTGAATTTGATCATGGCACTGAGCATGAATGTAGAGCTCTTGGAGTGCAACTCGTCCTTCTGCCGCATGAAGATTTGATCAGTTCGAGTGGATAAAGACTGGCGAAGAGCGACTGTTTTCAGGATTGCTTGTCCAAGATCGCCTCCCAACATGATGCAAATCATGCCCTCCAAGAGATGTACTGTCCTTTGAACCTTTGCTTTTTCCTTTGTGTGGTAGGCCTTGTGTAGTGCCTTGTGTGCCTGTGATTCGATTGATTTCACTTGGCGACGCCCTCAGCCCATTCTGACACTGGTGCCAAGGCCAAGTATCACTGAGGAGAAGCTGGGAGAATGGGGGAGACCGGTACTTTTCAAACTCAAGTCTTCATACGATTCATAAGTCATTTGTTGGCCCAGTATAGGAGCAAATCCGTTCAGAAAAGCATTGACAATCAATCTGTCAAAAGGCCAGGTTTCTTGTGGAGCTCTGACTGTCGAGGAGCTAATCGAGCTGAGAAACTCCAAGAACTTTGAGCCGGAAAGCCAAACTCAACAGCCTGCACAATCAGCAGACTACACTGTGAGACGCTTGAGTTGAGTCGTGAAGACTGGTGCTCGCAGCCACATGAGAAAGGGACTCGCATATTGGTGATGCGGCCTTGCGCACTGGATGTTCAATGTGTTGTGGAGACTATATAGGTCTTAATTTGATCAGTCAATCGAATACTTTGCAATTTCTGGTGCTCCCTTTGGCTTCAGACGTTCAATCCTTTTGGATTTGGATTCATATCGAACTACGACAGCCATTGCGGAGTTCCCATGTTCCCTTGTGGTTATTGCGATGGCAAACCTGGAGACAGCAACGGTACACTAGAACAGGCACCTTTTCCTGGCTCACCATGCCTTGCAGGTTTTTGCAATTGCGCTGAAGGGCCTGCATCACGTTCGTTAGTCCAAAACTCTTGACAATGAAAGGTTGAACGCCGGATTCTGGCATACACACACATGACATCACATGACCGACTGGCCTGAGCAGACCTTTAGAATGCGGAATGGGGCAATGGATGCTCATTGGCCTCCTGGCCTTTTGTTTGGCTTCAGCCTCCGCGAGGGCGCCAATCGTGAAGCACCCAGTGTTCAGAGATCTCGCCACCGACAAATCTGTTTTTGCAGCCCTGACTAGACCTGTCTTGGCTGAGGCGTCAGGCGTTTGCCCCAAAGGCTACTTCAGGAACGCGACGGTTCTATTTCCCTGTGACCAACATTCAGGCGCAGCCAGAATGTAAGATCAAAGCTGGCAACGGAGAGTGGAGCTCGTTGCATGCAGAGACGTTATAGCCACTATTGAAGAGCCTTCGTTGGGGATACAAGGTGCTAGCATATTTGCATATAATTGCCAAGAGGCACCTCTCTCTCGCTTTCTCATTGGAAATGCACGTGCGCACACACACACACGCATGTATATATTAGATATAGCATTATATATATATATATATGTAAAACTAACTACATACTGTATCTACATATTAATTTATGTTAGCGCACAGCGATATAGGTGTATGAATGGGTGGCAGGATGCCCATTTTTGGTTGCGGAGCCGTGACCGTGACCCTCTGCCAAGCAATACTGTTTTCAAACGCCCTAAGCCTGCCGCTTACATTAACACCGTCTGCTTCAAAATCTAAAAGGCCCAATAAGGTTGGCCAACTTCCCACCAGATAGGAGTCAGGTTTGCGTGTATTAATTCAGCTCTTTCGAGTGAATGGAACTGCAATTGACCCCGAGGAGTGGCCTTTGCACCTGTGAGCAAGACAGAAGATGTGACTATACGCGTGCCAACTGGAGTGCAGGACTGCAGGTGATAATTTGGTGGAACCTGGTCCTGGTGAAGTGGATTTGGGATGCTTTGGGCGATGGGCTGCAGACACTCATTTTTCCCCAAACAGTTTACTGTTAGGGGTTCTCAATTCCTTCTTAAGATGTGTCCGCCCTTTGTGTCACTGCTGGTGTCCGCTCTTTTCCGCTGGCCATGTAGCATTTCTATTCATTTGTCTCCCAGGTCTGTCACTGCTGGTGTCCGCTCTTTTCCGCTGGCCATGTAGCATTTCTATTCATTTGTCTCCCAGGTCTGTCACTGTTGGTGTCCGCCCTTTTCCTTTGGCCATGTAGCATTTCTAGTCATTTGTCTCCCAGGTCTGTCACTGTTGGTGTCCGCCCTTTTCCGCTGGCCATGTAGCATTTCTATTCATGTGTCTCCCAAGTCTGAGCATTTCTGTTCATGTGTCTCCCAGGTATGTCACTGCTGGTGTCCGCCCTTTTCCGCTGGCGATGCAACATTTCTATTCATTTGTCTCCCAGGTCTGTCACTGGTGGTCTGCCCTTTTCCGGTGGCCATGTAGTCCCTGCTGTAGCATTTCTATTCATTTGTCTGCGTCCGCCCTTTTCCGTTGGCCATGTAGCATTTCTATTCATTTGTCTCCCAGGTCTGTCACTGCTGGTGTCCGCCCTTTTCCGTTGGCCATGCAGCATTTCTCCCTTCTGTTTCCCTTTGTCTCCGGTCTTGTCTCCCTTCTTGTTGGTCACTGTGTCCGCCTTGTCTCCGTTCTGTTTCCTTTTGTCGCCCTTCTCGTTTCCCTTCTTGTTGGTCATTGTGTCTGTCTTGTTTGTAACTGTGTCCACCTTGTCTTCCTTCTTGTCTCCCTTCTTGTTGGTCATGGTCTCCGCCTTGTCTGCCTTCTTGTCTCCCTTTGTCTCCGGTCTTGTCTCCATTCTTGTTGTTCTTGTGGGTCACTGTGTCGGCCTTGTCTCCCTTCTATTTCCTTTTGTCTCCCTTCTTGTTTTGTTCTTGTCTCCCTTCTTGTTGGTCACTGTGTCCGCTTTGTCTCCCTTCTGTTTCCTTTTGTATCTCTTCTTGTTTCCCTTCTTGTTGGTCATTGTGTCCGCCTTTTCTCCCTTCTGTCTCACTTCGTCTCCGGTCTTGTCTCGCTTCTTGCTGGCCTTCTTGTCTCCCTTCTTGTTGGTCATTGTGTCCGCCTTGTCTCAATTCTGTCTTCCTTCTGTTTCCTTATTCCTTCTTGTTTGTCATTGTGTCCGTCTTGTCTCCCTTCTGTTTCCTTTTGTCTCCCTTCTTGTTGGCCATTGTGCCCGTCTTGTCTC